ATAAAAATAGGAAATTAAGGGAAGGAAAAAGAGAGGGGGAAAGAAAATATGAGGTACAAGAGAAGAAAGAAAAAAATTGTTGACTTCCAACTCTTTTTTTGCACAGTACAAGATAATAGCATTCCATGCTCAACTTTTTACTTTTAGACATTAGTATATAACTAGCCATTTCTGTAATAACTAATCTCTTTTTTTAATTTTAATTTTTATTTTTAACCAACAAGACAAAACAAAACAAAGCAAAACATAACACACATACACACAATATATATACTCCTTTTTTTTACAGCAATTGCGTAACGGTAATCTATTATTTACATTTCCCCCTTATTCTTCTTTAGAATATTTGTCCTTATAGCCCCGTTATTTCTTATTTACATTTTTCTTCCTTCATGTTTTACTTCTTCCTAAGAATAATTCATATTATTATTATTATACATTATTATACACATATTTTCACTTTTGACCTTTCCATATTTATTCTCCTCTATTATTTCTCCAACCAGACATATAACTTGTTCCATATTATATAATACTCTGTATCTTCCTTTTCTTTTATTGTTAATTTGTCCATCTCAGCACAGTCCAGGATTTTTCTTATTACTTCTTCCTCTGATGGTATATTCTCATTTTTCCAGCACTGTGCACATGCTATTCTTGCCACCATTATTATAATAACAAATCTATCTAATCGGCAAAATCAAAGTAAAAGTTTCATTTTTTTCATCACAAGCACAAAATCCAGAAGTGATATCCAAATAAAAAACATAAATATATACTCTTCTTTGAATAAAAAAATCAATTTAACCATTTCTGCTTTATCTTCCTTGCTATGGAAATAATATATATTTCTATTTGCACTTAATATTTTTTATAAACTATCACCATTTATATTAACAAAATTCACTGTATTTGTTCAGATTCTTTAACCTTAATGGGAAAAATATTTTTTCATCCATTTTAAAACACTAAACTTTTCTTTAAAAACATTTCTGAAACCAAAACTTTCTAATACCTCTTTTTAAACTTTGTCTTAACATGCATATTTTAAAATTCACTATTAAATTTAAATCACTCTCTCCAAGTTATCCTTTACACAAAAAGAAAAAACAGTCCAACCTATCAAAAATAGTACTGTAAAAAACAGAAACACAAGTTAAGATAGGCAAGAAAATGGTAAGTGAGCACTTGTTCACCCTAGATGAGTTCAAATCACCAGGACCAGATGGATTACACCCCAAGGTTCTGAAGGAACTGATAGATGTGATCTCAGAACTACTGAACTATATCTTTCAAAGATCCTGGAGCACTGGGGAACTACCAGAGGACTGGAAAAGAGCTGATGCTGTTTCCATCTTCAAAAAAATGGATCCAGAAAACTACAGACCTATCAGCCTGACCTCAGTACCTGGGAAGATTCTGGAAAAGATAAACAACAAATCAGTGAACACCTACAGACAAAAAAAGTCATAACCAAAAGCTAACATGAGTTTGTCAAAAACAGATCATGCCAGACAAATCTTATTGCATTCTTTGACAAGATGACAAAATTAATGGACCAGAAGAATGCTGTGGATATAATTTACTTGGACTTCAGTAAGGCATTTGATTTCACAACCTACTACTTGATAAGATAGAAAAATGTGGGTTAGACAGCATCACCATCAGATGGCTTGGTAACTGGCTGACCAATCACATTCAACATGTAGTCCTCAATGGAACTGCATCTACATAGAGGGAAGTATGCAGTGGGGTACCTTCTGTTAGGCCCAGTACTCTTTAACATCTTCATCAATGATTTGGATGAGGGATAGAGGGGGAACCCATCAAATTAGCAGATGATACCAAGCTGGCAGGAATAGCCAACATTCCAGAAGATACAGAAGGATCTTAACAGACTTGAACATTGGGTTTTATCTAACAAAATGAAATTTGATGGTGAAAAAAGTAAGGTTCTACATTTAGGCAAGAAAAACCACATGCACAGGTACAGTATAGATGATACCTCGCTCAATAGTAGTAACAGGAACTTTGGAGTCCTAGTGGACAATCACTTAAATATAAGCCAGCACTGTGCTGCAGCTGCCAAAAAAACCAATACAGTTTTAGGTTATAAATCTATACATTTTTATTGAATTTGAAAATGGAAGATGAACACGTTAAAGAAACAATGATAACATGGGCAAAGAACTTTGGATATAACATAGAATTATAAAAATGGCAAAACTTGTGGGAAAGGAATTATAAACTGACAATGGCAGCTTCTTATAAAGAAAATTTATATAAATTGTTTTATAGATGGCACTTGCCACCAGCAAAATTGGCAAAAATGTTTAAAAATATGTCAGATAGATGTTGGAAATGTAAACATAAGTGAAGTATTTATTATCATGCATGGTGGAAACGTGTTAAAGCAAAAAGATACTGGAAAAAAATATATACTTGGCTAGAGAAAATGTTGGGAAAACATGTAGATTTTAAACCTGAACTGGTTTAATGGGGTGGGGTTTGGACCCAAATCAGTACATGTAATTAAATGCAATGGTCTCAGTAGTAGATGACATGTGGGTTTGAAAACTAAGTAGGATTGGTCTTGTTAATATTCAGATAGGAGAGTCAATTGAATTCCAAGGCTACATGCTATACTTTAAAGTCAAAAATGTTTTGGAAGAAAGCACTGGCAAGTCACTTGCATAGTGCTGTTGCACAGAAATTGCATGTGCCATGACTGTGAAATCGCCAGGAATCAAACCTAATTCAGAAGCACTATTTCACTAAATACAGTTACTATATTTAAGAGTCTTCCCTTTATACTTGTTAATGGGGACTATCTACAACAGTTTGGAGGCTGCATGCAGCCAGTTGGCCTCATTTTAACACAGGTATTCCTGGACTTACAACAATTTGTTTAGTGACTTTTGAAGTTACAATGACACTGAAAAAAGTGACTTAGGACCAATTTTTACACAACTGTTGCAGCATCTCCATGGTCAAAATTGGGAGGCTTGGCACCTGACTCATATTTATGATAGTTGCAGTGTCCTGCGGTCATATGATCACTTTTAGTGAACTTCTGACAAGCAAAGTCAATGGGGTAGTGATTCACTTAACAATAGTGGCAACAAAGATAGTAAAATGGAGAAAAACCTAACAACTGCCTTGCTTAGTAATGGAAATATTGAGCTCAATTATGGTCGTAAATCAAGGACTAACTGTTTTTATTGTTCAATCGCTAAGTTGTGTCCGACACTTCGTAACTTCATGGACCACAGTGCGCCAGACTCCCCTGTGTTCTCCATTATCTCCCAGAGTTTGCCCAAATTCATGTTCATTGCGTCAATGACACTACCTAACCATCTTATCTTCTGCTATCCCTTCTCCTTTTGCCTTCAGTCTTTTCCAACATCAGAGTCTTTTCTAGTGAATCCTCTCTTATTAATGATAATGGCCAAAGTGTTTGAGCTTCAGCTTTAGTATCCGTCCTTCCAAAGAACAGTCAGGGTTGATTTCTTTTAGGATTGACTGATTTGATCTCCTTGCAGTCCAAGGGATTCTGAACAGTCTTCTCCAGCACCACAATTCAAAAGCACCACATGCTCAGCCTTCCTTATGGTCCAACTCTCATAGGCATACATTGTTACTAGGAAAACCGTAGCTTTGATTATGCAGATCTTTGTTGTCAAGATGATGTCTCTGCTTTTTGCTGTCTAGGTTTGCCATAGCTTTCCTCCCAAGGAAGCAAGCCTCTTTCATGACTGCAGTCACCGTCTGCAGTGATCTTGGAGTACCTCCCCTCCAAATAAAATAAAAACTGTCACTACTTCCATTTTTTCCCCCTTCTGTTTGCCAGGAGGTGATGGGACCGGATGTCATGATCTTAGTTTTTTTAATGTTGAGTTTCAAACCTGCTTTTGCACTCTCCACTTTCACCCTTATCAAGAGGCTCTTTAGCTCCTTTTTGCCATTGGTATGCTATCATCTGCATATTTGAAGTTTTTGATATTTCTCTTGGCAACCTTAATTCTGGCCCTGTGATCCACCCAGCCCGACATTTTGCATGGTGTATTCTGGATGTAAGTTAAATAACCCCGGTAACAACACACAGCCTTGTTGTGTCCTTTGCTTATTTTGAATCAAGTTGTTGCATGTTCAGTTCTAACTGTTGCATTTTGACTCAAATATAGGTTTCTCAATAGCTCAGCTGGAATACCATCACCTCTGCTAACTTTGCTGTTGGTAATATTTCCTAAAGCCTATTTGACTTCGCGCTTCAGTTTGTCTGGCTCAAGGTCAGCAATCACCACACCAATCATGGTTGTCAGGGACATTAAGATCTTCCGTATATAGTTCCTCTGTGTACTCTTGCCACCTCTTCTTAATCTCCTCTGCTTGCTTCTGTTAGGTCCCTGTCATTTTTGTGCTTTGTTGGGCCTATCTTTGCACGAAACATTCCCCTTGATAATCTCCAGTTTTCTTGAAAAGATCACTATTCTTTCCCATTTTGTTGTTTTCCTCTATTTCACGGGTGTCAAACTCACGATGTCACATGACGTGTCGCGACGTATCGTAACTTTTTCCCATTGCCGGCAGTGGGGTGGGTGCAATTTTGGCATGATGCATCCGCCCCAGGGACTGGCAGTTTGACACTCCTGCTCTATTTCTTTGCATTTTTCATTTAAGAAGGCCTCATAAACTTTTGAGATCATTATATATTAACACACATGCTAGAATATTTTATTTGTATGAATAAGTGTTGCTTTAAAAACAAAAACAAATAGCAGTTAAACACATAGCCTGTGGTAGGAATCATAATTACCCCAATCTTTCTAATTTAGCATTTTTAAAAATTATTTGCAGAGAGGAGTAGATGGTGTAGAGCGCAAAGTAAAAATGTAACAGTTTCATTTTTCCTAACTTTCTAGTATTAATGTAAGTTGGTTTGCTGGATCAAAGTGTTATCATTGCAACAATGATTTCTAAATTGTTAAATTCTTTTTCAGCTTGATGATTGTGCACTGCAATTGTCTCACAATGGTACCTACTTGGATTTGGAATCTACTCTAGCTGAGCAAAAGGATGAATTGGAAGGTTTCCAGGGGGAATTTGGGTAAGAAAATAATTATGTCTATCCACCTATAATTACAGTTGATAGAATGGTATGTATATTATTTCAGTTTTCAGCAAAATGCCCCATAGCAAACAATGGGTTTACTTAATGATTTCACTTTACAACCACACTCATATAACTACCATGGTGATTTGCTTAATGACCACCACAAAAACAGTCATAAAATTGGGTTGGTCATAGGATGACCCATAGGATGACTGTCACAGCTTACAATTGTAATGGGTAGGCTCCCTTATGGTCAAGAGCTACCTATATAAATCTGTTTTGAGGATTAAAAGACTAATATTTCTTGAAAACATTAAGCTGAAACACAGGAGTTTTTACAGCAGCAGATATTTTTATATAACATTTAGAGATTAGTGGTGTTGCAAAACCAATCTGCTTTTATGATATTCTGAATTGTTAACTGTCACATAGACTGCAAAATGTTCAATTAATATTACTTTGTTTCAAACCTTACCTTAGCATATAGCAGGAATGTTCCCCAGAATCTTCCCTTTTGTAGAGAAAAAAGGAGATAAGGAACATTTTTCTTGAACATCTGATTAAAGGCTGGAATCAGTTGGAAACTGGAAATTCTAGAGAAGCTAGGAAGAAATGTATGCCACAATTTGTGCCTCAGGAATACTAATAATTTTAAGCTAAAACTATTACATAATACAACTTTTGGGGGGGAATGATGCAGTTATTTAAACATTATGGCCTTTGATATTGTTTCTGATATGTAGTTTCTCTACATATACACTGTACATACATACACAGAGCGAGAGAAAGAGAGATCTCAATGGTAACAGACAGTAACACCACATAGTCTGCAAGAGTATTAATTTTTCTTTTGTTTATTTTCCATTAGAGGATTTTCTTGAGTTGCTATAAGTTTCATAACTTCATTTTTATTTTCTCCCTAACAGATTGTTTTACAGGATTTTAAGTGTTTTCTTTTTATTGTAAAGTTCATTTTGTATATATATCTGACAAAATTGATTTATTTCCAAAGACAGGGAGCTGATAACTGATTAATTTTCCTCCAAAGATTGTGAGCGTAAGAACTCCTATTCCAGCATGCCGTTGAATTTTCATTCCAAGTACTGACATCTTTGTATTCAAAGATCTTGGTTAAAACTTCATTGGAGAATCCCAAGACACTGTGGGTACTGGATCAACCAAGAATGTGCAGGTGGCAAGGCAAAACCAATCAATGCAGGTGGTCCTCAACTTAGGGCTACAATTGGGACCAGAATTTCCATTGATAAGCAAGGAAATCATGATTTTGCTACTTTTTTTTGCCATGGTTGTTAAGTCAATCACTGTAGTTGTTAAATAAATCCAACTTCCCCCATTGACTTTGTTTACTGTAAACCATCTGGGAAGATTGCAGTGGCAATCACATAATCCCAGGATGCTGCAATTTGTTATAAATACCATTTTCCAAGTGCCTAAATTTTGATCATGTGACTATGGGGGTGCTGTGATGATTATAAGTAAGCGCAAGGACTTGGGGGTGCTGTGATGATTATAAGTAAGCGCAAGGACTGGTTGTAAGTTGCTTTTTCACTGTCATTGTAACTTTGAATGTAAGTCGGGGATTGTCTATAGTGTCAGAAGTTTGTCCATCCTATTTTATTAGAATGAAAACGTTCTTAAAGAGGAATAAAATGATGGCACAGCAAGCTAAACAAAAAAATGGACTATATCATTAATGAAAAGAACTACACACCATCTAGATCAGGGCTTTTCAACCGGTGGTACGCGTACCACTTGTGGTACATTAATGAGTGGCAGGTGGCACGCAACCCTGCCTAGCCAAGTGTAGTGGGGGAGGGAAAGAGCCAGCACAGGCAAGGACTTACAGTGAGAGTCCTCTGGAGCTGCAAAGACCTCAGGCTCATTTCTGGCTCACCCTCCTCCATGAGAAAGGAGGAGGGAGGCAGAGACAGGAGATGCTGTAAAAGGAGGCAGTTTGGGCAGAAGAGGGAGAGAGAGAAAAGCAGCAGGCTTGGGAGGAGGTGGAGTCAGCTGGAGAGGAGGAGGAGGAGGAGGAGGAGGAGGGTGGGGAAGAGGAGATCAAGCAGGCTGGCCATGAGCTGATCTACAACTGCTGTGGCAGCCATCTGTGCTGGCAGCAGCAAACAGGCAAGAAATGTAGCAGGGGAGAGGTCACCTTCCAAAAGGAATGAAAAAAGGCACCAATGGCTGGAGGTGAGGCACAGAGGAGGGAGGGACAGAGATGGAGAGTGGAAGGATTCTTATGTGCTTTTGTGACTTTGAAGTTCTGGGATTTGTGCAATGTGGGCTTTGTGTTCTTAAGGAGTGTTTGACAATTTCTATTTGGCTGATGTCTCGTGTCAGCTTCTGTTGCTCTGCTGTTGTTAGCTGTAAGTTTTGCTGTAAGGGATTTTGAAGTATTTTTTCTCCTGAATGGATTTTGCCTGTAGCATTCCTTTACTTATGAATGGAGCCATTCGGGGAGACTGCCTTAGCCGGCAGCCAGTACTTACATTTTTTTTTCCTTAAGTGCCGGCTGTGCTCCTTACTTTCCTTTCTAGCCAGTAGCTAATTCTTAAAAAGAAACATGCCTTTTTAAGCTAGTTCACTCAGCAGCTTGTCTTTTCTGTCTCTGGAGGCCTTTCCTTGTTTGATCAATATATGAAGAGAGAATGAGAAAAGGGGAGGCAGGGAATGAGAATGAGAAAAAGGGAGGCAGGAAAGGAAGTCCCGCCTTAGCACTTGGCCACCAACAGCTCTGCCATTGATTTTGCTTGTCAAAAGGTTGCAGAAGGGGATCACATGACCCTGGAACACTGTGACCATTATAAGTATGAATCAGTTGCCAAGCATCCAAATATAAATCACATGACCTAGGCATGCTGCAATGGTCATAAGTGTGAAAAATGGTCATAAGTCATTTCAATGCAATTTCAACTTTGAACAGGTTTTTTTTTTTTTTTTTTTTTGGGTCATCAAGTTTTTGACACCTTGCTTGGTGGTACTCGAATATTGCCATATCCTAAAAGTGGTACAATCAGTAAAAAGGTTGAAAAGCCCTGATCTAGGTTCTTTGTACCTCTTATTTTTTTAAAACCTCATCCATATGATTCAGTTTCCCCATAGGTATGGACTCAACAATAATTAAAGCTACTTGTATACTAGATTGCTGCCAAGAAGCTTTTGCAAGTTGGGTTCCAGTGACCTAGCTTGAAATTCATTGCATGGTAGAAGCATGTCATAGCAGTAAGGGATAGTCTAGTTTCTGCTGAATTATTGGAAGCCAAGACCAATTGGTAAGCTCAGTTATATACCTGCTAACAGTATAGACCAAATGGCTTAAATTGTAATGCATTAGGGAAGTATGTAATTGTCTGATATTATTTCAGTAGTGGTTAAGGAGATGGACTCAAATCAAATGCCCTGGTTTGAGTTTCACTCCTCATCATAGAAGCTGACCAGATGACTTTGAGCTAGTCATTCTGTCTCAGTCCAATCCACCTCACAGAATTGTTGTTTTGGGAAAAATGGGAAGAAGTAGTGCTATGCATTTAATCATAAAATTGACAAAGTTATTTCCAGATTTGTCCAACTATTTCCTAATTTGTTCAGCAGACCTTGGCTACATTGTTCTCTATGTAAAACCTAAAATAATGTATGTCCGGGAAATGATATATTTTGGCTGTTTCTATAACAATTTACAGCTTTGCACAAAGAACTGTGCTCTTTTATACAGATGTATTTTGATATTAAAGATTAATACTGAAATACATTAGATTTTGAACATAGGAATCCTCACGTACTTCGATGTATACATTCAAAGCTTTTGGCTCTTCATTTGACATTCCCATTGTTATATAATTAATGTAACAGATGTGGGTTTTTTATACAGTAGAACATTTTTGGAAAGGATAAGATATCAGAGATAATTATATATTAAAATAGCATTAATAATAACTTGAAATGGACTTCCGGTTCCGGTTCACGGCATCACAAGTCACACAGGGAGACTTCTCTCCTTGTCGACTAGGTTTCCCTCTGTCGGTGGACCCTTATACGGATCCAAAGTCGCCCTGGAGGGTGCGAATTCTGTCAAGGAGGCTGCAGTCTGGCTGCGGAGGAGCAGTGGCTCCTCCAGCTGTCCGGACAAAACTCTGAGGACCGACGGAGAGGAAGATAGGCCATGAAAATGGCCGATCGCCCTGCTGCTTCAGACTGTAAGTCGAACAACATCTAAGCTTTTAGTGCCCCCTTGGTGAATCTGGGTGAGAATTTTTTTTTATTTTTCTCTCTTTTCCATTTATTTTTTCGATTGTGTGCCTGTAAAGAGCTTTTGAAATTATTTCCCTGGCTTGGAAAGGTGGCTTCTGCTTTTTTATGGGAAGAAAGGCATTTCATAAACACTGAAAGGCTATAATCTATTTTTATTGGGACACTAAAAAGGGAAAAAAAGGAAAAGGTTTTCTCTCCTTTCTTTTTAAGAAATTTACTATTTCTACTTTTTTATATATAGACATTACTTTAAAAGACGGGGAAAAAAGAATTGATTTTTGGAAAAGTCTCTCTTAACTTACTGAGGACATCTAGTGGCAAGAATTTAATACTGCAACTTTGCTTATTTTTTCTTATGAACTTTAAAACACTAAAGATAAGCTCTGCACCTGTGAAGATGTGGGGGTGGATGTTTCTACATTAAACAAAGCCTCTACAAAAAAGAAAAAGAGATCTCCTTTTAAGCATTAGTATTAAAATGGAGAAACCTCAGATACAACTGAATTGTGCACTTATATTGGAAAAGATTTATGAGGCCACTGCAGAAATTTGTGCTACATTTAAAAACTGTACTTTAGAATCAAAATCTAGAAACTCTACTATATTTGCCCAAACTGATGTCCAGGTTACAACTGATTATGACATAAATCAAAATGTGCCAGAAGAGGAATTTACAGAGATAGAAGTGGAATTTATTTCGTCTGACAATCCCTTCTCCAGCA